GAAAGAAGCAATGGTAATACATTAATGCTGTTCCTATAGCAATATCTGCCTCCTCACTGCTGCTTCCTGATTCCCATCCCTCCTGACTTTTCAAAGAGATCTGAGCAATAAACAGATTTAAAGACCTGGCCCGAAGCAGAAAACACAACTGTGAAACTTACAAGTTTTTAGGCTTAAATTAAGTACATCACTCATGTTATTTTTTTCTTAAACATTTAATTACAAAAATGCATGCATTCTCTTAGATTCTATTTTGTGTAGAACTTAAAATACTGTTAAGAATTAAGTTAGAAGGTTTGTTTTTTTTTTTTTTTACTGCAATGAAAGCAGAAATAGCCCAAGTAGCATACCCTGTAGCGATTCAAATTATCCAGTAAAAACAACAACAACATTGCAAAACAACAGTATGGTTGTGTGAATAATAGCAAGGACTGCAATGTGCAGATTTTCAAAAGGAAGCATCCTATCATATTGGTATATTTCTCAATCCACCCTGCCCAAGGAACCCAAGGTAGGTACAGATCTACGAAAAGAGTCAGGCAGGAATCCTTCCCCTTCTCTGCCTGAAATTCAATAAATCACATTTGTCAAGAGTTGCCTCAAATAAAGGCTCACTCCTCCTTTCCACTCTAGAACATTCTGTGCATTTGGAATTATTCCAGATTCCAAAGTGGAAATAGAAGTATTTACTTCAGAGGGTGTTGAAAGGATTAAATCATTTGAGCCAGTAAAGACTCAGTTAATTAACAAGCTTGAACATATGCAAATATAAGACTTAAAACTCAACTTCTAAAAATGTAAATGCATTGACAGGGAAACTTTTATAGCAACATTAGAAATATTTTGCAAAAGTAAAGAACAATGAGAACTTTATAGAAATGGGTATTGGAAAAATTCAAATCTTAAATAGAAATATAAAACAATCTCTTAATAGTGATCTTCACATATCCCTAGGATTATACAACCATTAATGGTTTCAATTAATATGATTTGTATCATCTTGGGCAGGGCTTTATCTTTTTCTTTTTTAAAAAAGATTATCTATTTGAAAGGCTGAGTGAGACAGAGAAAGAGCGATCTCCACCCACTGATTCACTCCCCAAATGGCCACACTTATGCAGGTCTGGGCCAGCCAAACCCAGGAGCCAGGAACTCCATCTGAGTTTCCCACGTGGGTGACAGGGGCCCAAGTACTTGGGTCATTCTCTACTGCCTTCCCAGGCATATTAACAGGAATGTTAAATTGGAAGTGGAGGAGCCAGGACTCTAACTGGCACTTCATTATAGGATGCTGAGTCACAGGTGGCGTCTTAACTCATTGCACCATTATCATTTCAGATGTGATGTTTTCAGGAGAAGATACCAGTCCCAGATTACTTCAAATCTTTTAAATTCTTTGTCTCAAGGTTGTTCTTTGAGCTAAAAACATTTTGGCTAATGAAATGCCAAAACCCTAGCTTAAAGCCAACCCAAATTATTGTCTGCAAAGCTTCAAGGTCTCTAAAACTGACACAGATCTGTAGGGGATGGGTGACTAAGGAGGTTTGTACTGAATTATAGACATGAGATGCAAGGAATTTATAATCAAATTAAGGGATCAACACTTCAAATTACATAAATAGCAAAATCACAGTGTATCCCATAAACATCTGCTAAGTCATACAGCACTGACACCAAGGGTCAAGGAACTGGAGTCATCAGGTACGGCTTCAAAGAGCACAAAGATTTCAGGTCAGGCTTGGAGGAATGAAAGGATTCAAATTCATGAAAGAAAAGTCATGGACGATGAATGCAAAGTCTGTGTTGCTTCTCAGTTTCGTCTGGACTTTATGATCTCAAATAAAATACTCATCATCGTTCCCCCACCAGGAAAGCCAAAATTACCAATGGTCTTCTATATGTGAAGTCCTGTATATCACTTAATTAGGAAGATTTTCAACTTAGAGAGACAGGGGAGAGGTGAATGTTGGCCCAGTGGCTCAGAGTTCAAACCCCATTGTAGAATGCCTGGACTGGACACTTGCCTCTGACTCCTGGCTCCTGGCTCCAGCTTCACGATGATGAAGAACTTTGGAGACAGCAGTAACAGCTCAAGTAACTGGGTTCTTGCTACATACAGTAGAGACCTGGACTGTTTCTGGCTCCAGAATTCAGCCTGACCTAGCTTCAGCCCCAACTCCAGCTGTTGCTGGCATTTGGAACCAAGCCAGTAAATGCATCTCTCTCTCTCTACCTCTCAAATAAATAAGTAAACAAGCAAATATGTAAAAAAAAGATGGGAAACTGGCTTAAAGATAAACAAAAGGCAGCTCAAAACTAAAAATAACTCCAACCTCACAATAATGGTTTTATAAAAGAAATGAAATCTGTTTTCTTAAATACAATTTTTGAAGCTTGCTTTTGCCGTTTTACCACTTCTCAATCAAAAACAAATTCAACATGGAATCTACATTAAACATATGTATAAATTTTACTATTTAGATCAGTCTTAATGTGGGAAAAAAAATTTTTTTTTTTTTTGACAGGCAGAGTGGACAGTGAGAGAGAGAGAGGCAGAGAGAAAGGTCTTCCTTTGCTGTTGGTTCACCTTCCAATGGCCGCCGCCGGTGCGCTGCGGCCAGCGCATCACACTGATCCGATGCCAAGAGTCAGGTGCTTCTCCAGGTCTCCCATGGGGTGCAGGGCCCAAGCACTTGGGCCATCCTCCACTGCACTCCCTGGCCACAGCAGAGAGCTGGACTGGAAGAAGGGCAACCGGGACAGAATCCGGCGCCCTGACCGGGACTAGAACCCGGTGTGCAGGCGCCGCAAGGCGGAGGATTAGCCTAGTGAGCCATGGCGCCGGCCAGGAAAAATATTTTTACACTAAAATCTCAGAATCTCACTGCATCTTTCTCATGTTTTAAATCATAGTTGTCTTTGGCCACTACAAACTGTACCTCATTCAACAGCTGTGGAAATATCCTAAGCTATTCAGTACCTGGTTTACAATGGAGCATTGAATTTATCCAGCAAAAGCACAACATGCATGTCAGTGCTTCCTTTTGTCCTGTGTATTCTAAATCTAAGTACAGACAGATAGGATATCCTCAAATTATTTCATTTGCTTCATTTGTTATTCCAGAGAGAAACCTAGTGCCTGATTTACAGTCAGAAAGTCAATTTAAGAACCTGTCACACAGAGGGGCCACAGGTCCTGGGACTGAAAGGCAAGTCTTCCTTATCAGGATTCTTCTGTCTTTTGCTAGGCAACCTTGGAAGGCCTGAAGCTTTTGTCTGAAAGGAAATGAAAAAATGCTGGTTTTCTATGACTCACCTAGCACCAAAGTGATTAAATTAAAGAGAAAGCCATGGACACCACTTCTTGAGGTCACTAACAGGACCAAGTACCTCAAAATCTATTCACATAAATTATAACAGATTGGCTTTAAAGTTGTGTGGGCATGTCAATAAAATTTTTAAAATTTTTGTGTATTTCTTTATTTCATCTATTTGAAAGGCAGGGCAAAAATTAGAGAATGACAGAAAGAGAGAAACAGGGAGAAAGATTTTCTATCTGCTGGTCCATTCTCCAACCCATCAGCCACAGCTGAGCCAGGCCAAAGCCAGGAACCCAGAACTCCATCTGGGTCTCCCATGTGGGTGGCAAAGGCCCAAGCATTTGAGCCATCATCCACTGTCTCCCAGGACGCACCAGCAGGAAGGTGGATCAGAAGCAGAGGTGCCAGAACTTGAACTGGCATCCCAGGCAGCAGCTTAACCTGTTGCACCACAATGCCTGCTCCTTAATACAATTTTTAATGCACACTACAAATGTCTATTGCTACTGTATATTCAATACATTTCAACAAGCATTTCCAAGGATCTAGTAGTCTGTGTTGGATACTATACTTGGTACTGAAACTATAGTCATTTTTGACAAACCATTTAATCTCTATAAAGATAAAAAATAATAAATGTGTTATCTCTCCATAAAAATAACATTGTGATATTCACATGGCTATGATGAGGATTTAAAGAACCATCTAGGGGCAGGCACTTGGCATAGTGGTAGTCACTTAGGAAGCCTGCATCCTATATCAGAGTGCCTGGTTCAAGTCCTGGACTTAGCTTCCTGCTGACACACACCCTAGGAAGCAGCCGACGATAGCTTAACTTGGCCCTGCCATTCATGCAGGAGATCCACTGAGTTCTGGGCTCCTGGCTTTGGACTGGCCCAGGCCTGGCTCTTGTGGGCATTTTGAGAATGAACCAGAAAAGGCAGGACCCCTCTCCTTCAGTCTCTCTGACTTTCAAATAAAATGAAGGTAAATAAACATGGATTAGAAAAAATAAAAATAAAGAAGCAATACATATAAAACCCTGAGCGCAGCATATGGCAAACCACACCTTTTTTTCTTTGCTGTATGTTTTTTTTTTTTTTTCCCACTGTACAGCAGTAAACTAGGGAGACAAGGCTGTATACTTACAGTATAGAAGATACAAATAATAACAATGACAACAAAATAATAATGACAGTGCTGCTGCTACTACTACTACTACTACTACTAAGAGCAGAAAATACCAATTCAGAACTTATTATGAGCAAAGCACTATTCTACATACTGTCAACATTTAGCTCATTAATCATTCCATATAACAACCGTCTTCAGTGAGTAACTAGGACCATGACAATGCTATGTACACATGGATGTGGGAGTGGTCCTTTAAACCCCACCCCCAAGCAGTTGGGAAAATATCTTCCTGGGATTAATAATATGAGGCAGGTAAAATGACGGAGGGATGTGGAACTGGGATGGTGAGAATACTCACAGGGAGGTTCAGAGAGCTCACTGCAGTTCAGTTCAGGAAAAGACTATGTGAGGGACATAAGCAACCTATAAATCCACATACCAGGCAAAGTGGTTACTGGAGTGATAGAAAGAGAGGAATTCTTGGGAGAGGCAGTTTTACAAGGGCAGTAAGAGCGGGATGGTTGGGAAACTGCTGGAGAAGCCTACCTGTCAGCAGCAGCCTGTACTGGGGGATCCTCTGAACCGGCTTGAGCAGGTAGTGCTTGACGGCCAGATTAGCACAGCGCGGGCTCATCTGAAAGGAGAGGACGTCCAACTTACACACACTAGGAAGCAAGGGATCCAGGATGTATGTGCTCCGGCGTCAAACTCTACCAACAGCCAGCAGCAACTCTGGAGGGGACTCCTAGAAAAGTTCCCTTTTATTTTAAGGCACAAACGTTATACTGAGAATGAAACCACAGCCAGATTCACCACGAGACCCACTCTCTTCCGTAGGTCCATTTCTGATGTCACTTGCTCCTGGGGAGAACTTGTTCACAGCTCTGTCAGAGCGAGGTGGCCAGAGTCAGCATTCCAGGCTGGCTGGGGGGGCCCTGCTCAGCAGCTCTACTCCGAGCATCTGCCCACACATACAAGACAGTCCCAGTGACCCCAACATAAAGTGGCAGAAATAAAACTGCTAGGAACTGGACTCCAATAATAATCAGAGTCTGGTGGTCAGTATGTCCCCAATAACAATTGAGTGATAGAAAGCAAAAATTAAAGGTAACCTGAAAAGCTGCCATTTTAAGTTAAGAATTCCTTCTTTAACAAGTTGGAAGGATATAAAACTCTTTTTTGGTTAAATGGCCTTATAAAAGATAGCCCCCAAATCACAGTGCATATTGCAACATTTGATTGTGGAACCACATTTTGACTTAAGCACAGAGATATCTGATTCTGCCTCTAAGTTCTTTGCCTTAGTATGGATAACAGACATCTCTACCCATTTGTGAGCTTCAACCCCAGGCTCCAACCCAAGAGTTTACAGTGAAGTGACATCAAAGTGGCCAAGTGAAAATGGTTCTGCACACTAACAGAGAGTGTCTTATACTTCTTTCACAGCCAGCTGGGTGGGTAAGAGCTTTTATTTCAGATTTCTTCAGACTGTCACCTATTTCTAAAATATGCACAACCACTGTCTGCTACACAGAATACTTAGAAAATGATAATGAGTGCATGCCAAAGGCATCTTTCATACAGACACCATCTCCCTGTCTTAGCCTTTTTTTGCTGCCAAGGCAACAGGACTACCAGACAGAGACTGAAACCTGGGTCAGTCATCAGTTACCATAGCTACATCATACTTTGTTTTTTGATGGTATAGAGACATCAAGAAGGGGAGGAAAGAACCAAAAAAAGGTGGGGGAGGGAAGGAGCTACAAATGATTTGAATGTGTGATTATATGTCTACCGCATGAATTATAAACCAGCAATACCACAGTATTTAAAAAATCCTCCATTCTAATTTTATATAGCTGAAATTCACTGGCTTTTCAGTTTCAAAACAGAGAAGTTAAGTACTAAAATATGGTAAGCCCAAATGTTACTGCAAAATGGTAGAGTGGACTTAAATGGAAATTGTAGTTGAAAACTAATTTTTAAATCCTATTGTAGCCAGTGCCGCGGCTCAATAGGCTAATCCTCCACCTTGCGGCGCCGGCACACTGGGTTCTAGTCCCCGTTGGGGTGCCGGATTCTGTCCGGTTGCCCCCCTTCCAGGCCAACTCTCTGCTGTGGCCCGGGAAGGCAGTGGAGGATGACCCAAGTGCTTGGGCCCTGCACCCCATGGGAGACCAGGAGAAGCACCTGGCTCCTGCCTTCGGATCAGCGTGGTATGCCGGCCGCAGCGTGCTGGCTGCGGCGGCCATTGGAGGGTGAACCAACGGAAAAGGACAACCTTTCTCTCTGTCTCTCTCACTGTCCACTCTGCCTGTTAAAAAAATAAAAAATAAAAATAAATAAATAAATAAATCCTATTGTACCACTGTATTCCTAATCAATTTAGCCTGGTAGCTATTTTTGAGTGTTTTGAGTCCAAACACAAAGCTCTTGGCTGATACATGCTATAAACATATAATTCCTACTTTTATATAATTTTAATTAATGTTATAGTAATCATTATAGTATGATTTTACACACATTAAATTTTTTAACTTTGACACTAAAACTGCTCTTTATTTAAAGGGAAACAAATTCTAGTTCCCACCCATCATTATGAGTTAGTTGTTAGAAGACTAAGTTTACATTATGTTATTTTACCCCAATTTAAAAAAAAAAAAAGTCCAATCGAAATAATAGCTTTCAAGCAAAAATATTCCAATGTGCAGTAACAGATCTTCAAAATTAAATTTTGTACACTATTTGAATTTGCATGATTTAATTTGTTCAATTCCTTCTTTGATATTTAGAAGGGATTATATTTTAATATCTTTGTTTTCAATGAACGCAAATTATTAAAGCTTCAAAACAAGAAAGAAAAGGAAATGTTTAACATTAGATGGCAACAAATACCTCAAATTCTCTAACAACTGTAGCAAAACCTGGATTTTTCTTGCACTGCTCATCCAGCAAAGCTATATTCTTATCAAATTCTTTGATATATGTGGAATACATTTTTAGATATGGTCCCTTCTTTACAAAGATATCAGCAATTCTTTGTTGTTCAGTCCTATGGACAGAGAAGAGATGCACAAAAATTTAAAAAGAGAGTCATTATTGTGTCTAAAACACATCTAATAATGAGCAACACCCACAGCCAAGCCATCAGCTCATTTCTTTTTTCTCTTCCCTTAAGATACTTCCCAGAAGGCCTACTCTTCACATTTCTACCCTCTCATTCTGCCTGGACTCTGCCAGCCCTCTGACTGGTCTTCCTGGTTCCATTTTTGCCTCTTTCATCACATTTGTCAGTGCAGGAAGTCTAAAAAACATCCTAATGTATGACTTTCAATAGCCTTCTGCTGTGTTTAGGATAGCAATAAACTCCTTATCTTGGTGTACAAAAGGCTCCAGGAGCACCCACATGGGAGATCCAGAAGAAGCTCCTGGCTCCTGGCTTCAGATGGGCACAGCTCAAACCGTTGCGGCCAATTGGGGAGTAAACCAGCAAATGGAAGACCTCTCTTTCTCTCTCTCTGCCCCTCCCTCTCTTTCTGTGTAACTCTGACTTTCAAATAAATAAATCTAAAAAAAAAAAAAAAAAAAAAAAAAAAAAGGCCAGCGCCGCGGCTCACTAGGCTAATCCTCCGCCTAGCGGTGCCGGCACACCGAGTTCTAGTCCCAGTTGGGGCACCGGATTCTGTCCCGGTTGCCCCTCTTCCAGGCCAGCTCTCTGCTGTGGCCAGGGAGTGCAGTGGAGGATGGCCCAGGTGCTTGGGCCCTGCACCCCAAGGGAGACCAGGAGAAGCACCTGGCTCCTGGCTCCTGCCATCGGATCAGCGCGGTGCGCCGGCCGCAGCGCGCCGGCTGTGGTGGCCATTGGAGGGTGAACCAACGGCAAAGGAAGACCGTTCTCTCTGTCTCTCTCTCTCTCACTGTCCACTCTGCCTGTCAAAAAAAAAAAAAAAAAAAAAAAAAAGGCTATAGCATGAGCTCAGTGTGCCAAAGCCATGAATTCTGGCCATCTAAAATAATCAATCTACAGGTACCTAAGTGGATTCACTATGCTGAAACCATTCAATGTAAGGAACACCTCTTTGTCACATGCAGGAGCTCTGATGGCTTCATCAAAAATTGGAAACTCGACAAATGAACAAATCTCAGTTCATCTTTACCAGTTCAGCATTCTTTCCTCCAGTTCCTTCAGAAGATCCCTGTTGAGTTCATACAGCTGAGGCAAGTAGTACAGGATCTGGTTTAAAATCCGGTCCTCTATCACTGCTTTCCCAAGTTGCCTGGAAGCATGAGCTACTGCATTCCGGAAGTCCTATTATCATCCGGGGGAGGAAAAACAACACATACACACACAACTTGATAACAATTTTTTTCCCTGAGTTGCCTTCTTCCCTAAAATGATATAAACTGCAAAGTGCTATTTTCAGAACTACAAACAAAAGTACTCACTTCTTCCTACCCCACACCCTACTCACCTAGATAGAAAATTAACTTAAAATATTATACAGTAGTTGAGGTGGATATTTGATCTTAAAAGAGATTTTGAGAGCGGCTGTTTTGTCCATCAGTTAAGATGCCCGTTGGGACACCTACACCCCACATCAGAGTGCCTGGGTTCAAGTTCAGGCTGTTTCCAATTCCAGTTTCCTGGAACCCCTACTCCTGAGAGGCAGTAGTGACAGCTCAAGTGGTTGGTTTCCTGCCACATACTTGGGAGACCTGGATAGAATTCACAGTGCTACATTGGCCATTATGGGCCTTTGGAGAGTGAACCAGTCAACAGGACAGTGCTCTCTCTTTTCCTCTTAAATAAATTAAAAAATTAAAACAGACTTTGGTACTTCATTTACCTTTGAGTTTGATTTCCAAACTTGGCTATTATACTAACAAGGTGTCTGGAAACTGTATTACGACTCTAGTCTTTAAAGTTATTCCAGTTCCATCCTATGAACAGAAACCACTTATTTTTAAAGACCCTCAAAAGATTTTTAGCTAATTTTACTCTGGATGCGGTAGTCCCTCTGTCACTTTCAGGAATCTTTTCCCAACAATGAGAGCATTCTAGGTGGGACATGTGGAAGGAAGCAGTGCCTGATAATCAGACTCCTGAATCCAAGCTCTTGTTCTTAGTTTCCTGTGTTGCCTTGGGCTAGCCTCATTTTCCTCATGTGCTAAGTAAGTACATTAATTTTATGAGACTCTAATTATATAGTACAAATAAAAATTTTTGCAATGCATTTGCTTACAGGATCAACTAAAACATTTTAACTCTAGACTGTAAATTCTCCCTTCCTTCCAGCGAACCTCCCAATAAATTCACCAAAATTGACACTTTTCACAGATTAAAAAAAACTCACATATTATTTTCCATCTGCTGTTACCTATAAGACTACTTGTAGCATATTTTAGCGTAGGTTGCTGACGGCAAACCCTGTCACTCCAGAGGACTTGCAAAAGGTAGTGTAGGAGATACTATGCTTAGATCCCATTGTCCCTTGGGGGTAGGCCTCACTATGTAAGTAAAACAGTTTCACAGTCCTCAGGACTCAAAAACAAAGATTCGTTCCTTCTTAGGAACTGCAGTTTTAATTAAAACCTTAAAGCAAAGGTTGGATATGATGACTCTTTCCTTGGCTTTACTGCCCTTGATCTTTATTTCCAATGCTTTTCCTTCCAGAATTCACTAGGCACACCAAACAAACTAAGAAAGACACGGTTCTCCCCTCTTGTCCCCCATTCCTTCACCCCTGTCCACAACATATATGTAGTAACCATGAATACGTCTCACATGTGTTCAAGTCAGAAAACCTTATGTATAAGTTAAAAGTACATGAAAGGATTATTTTCTAATGCATTGCTATTTTAGATAAGTCAAACCATTTTTTTAAAAATCCTTCACTTAGGACTCAGTACCTGTGACAACCTGTATTGGTCCATGTCACCTTAGCTCGAAAGAACTAACTACTTATACCAGTGACTAAAGAATTAAGTTGCATTTCTATTTAAAAATTAGGATGTGTAATTTGTATAAGCTCCACCCAGAAAGCACCACTAAACATTTCCAGAAACCAATTGGATCTGGGCCAAATTCCATCTCCTAACAGCTTGCTTCAATCAACACTCATTTATTTACTAAGAGAAAATTGAGATACTTAACACTTTTGAAAGTCATGAGACTGCCTGCTATCAGAAAGAGCTATAGGATATATTTACATATTAGGATGACTACCTCAGTTGTAAATGTATTCAGATCATAACAATTAAACAGCTGCTGTGTGTGTGTGTCTTTGTGTGTGTGTGTTTAAAGTCAGTTTAGTGATAGTGATTCATTAATTCAGATGCAAGAGTTCCTAGCTCAGCAAAGCAATAAGCCCTGCCCTTTCTTCTGGTTAAATAAGGGATGACTATTTGTCCCTTGGCAGCTAGATAACTTGTTTTCCAGTTGGAGGGTATTTCCTCAGCCATGGCAGTGACAGTAGATGTTAGTTAGATAGTAAGTAACTTAAGGATCCAGTTTTGCCAGACTCTGCATTCCATGTCTTCCACCACTGCCAAAAAGGAAACTTGTTTATGTAAGACACATTTAACAGAGATCAGCCAAATCCACACTGAGCTGACCAGTCAGATGGCCACCAAAGATGGGGAGGCCTTTATCATATAGTAGGCAAACACCACTTTTTCCAGTACTAGATGTTTGTAGGTAGCTCTGGATGAACAGAGTCAATGATGCCTTTTTTATTAAATTGTAATAGGTCAGAATAAAATAGAAGTCTAAAAACTAAAGAGTTGGGGATGGCGCTGTGGCACAGTGGGTTAACATCCTGGCCTGAAGTACCGGCATCCCATATGGGCGATGGGCGACGGTTCAAGACCCGGCTGCTCTATTTCCGATCCAGCTCTCTGCAATGGCCTGGGAAAGCAGTAGAAGATGGCTCAAGTCCTTGGGCTCCTGCACCCATGTAGGAGACCCAGAAGAAGCTCCTGGCTTCTGGTTTTGGATCGACAGAACTCCAGCTGTTGCAGCCATTTGGGGAGTGAACCAGCAGATGGAAGATCTCTCTCTCTTTCTCTCCCTGTCTCTCCTCTCTCTAATTCTGAATTTGAAATTAATAAATAAATCTTTAAAAAATAAACAACTATAGGAACTTAGAACATCTATATGCATAAGACTCATAGAGTTATTATTCTATGCAAGCACTTGACAGAGTCTTTGACCAAGCAAGTCAGGTTCCTAACTAACCCTTTCTTTGGCCCATTTGTGCGCTTCCTGTAAAGAGGTTCAGCAAGAAGCCTCCCACTTGGCCCCTCTTCATCCAGATGAAGTCTGATCATGCTGGCCTGTCCTCAGCAGTTGTCAGTTTAGCCAGAATCCCCCTTCACCACTCATGTGTCCTCTTGGTAATCTTCATCCACCGATTCCAACTTTGCCCCTTAGCTATAAAATTCTCACTTGTCCACGCTATATCTGGAATTGAGCCTAATCTCTCTTGCCCACTACAAAACCCCACTGCAGTAGTCTCTGCACCTCTGGTGACTATCTTGAATAAAGTTTTCCTTGCCGTGTTTTAATAAGTGCCATCAAAAACTTTTCTTAAACACTCCACTAAGGCCATTACTGGTTCTTACGGAACATTTCTGAATACTGTAACGGGCACTGCTTCCCTCAGGCCACCGCAATTGTCTCCAAGAGCTCCACTTGGAATGTATGGCTTCCACAATCACACACAGTAACTTCTGCCCGTTTTATGCCCTCACCTCCTGGGTCACCATGTGCTCTGGCTCCGTGGCAGATGTAACTAATTCACACAGGAACCACACACAGAATCTTAACTTCTCAGCTCTTCATGAACCTCAACCATTGCCAAAACTAGTGCCATTGGAAGGAGGTAATTTTTTTCTTTATAAAAAAGGCTGATTACAAAATATGTCTGGTTCTTTTTCTAAATGTTAACAGCCAGGATAATTTGGGAAAGTGTGATGAGCCAGAGGCAAAGCTATTTTGGGGTAGAACAATCTAAATTCACCAACACCTCCTTAACCAGTGAGGATGCAAGTCAGCAGGACTAGCATTTAAAAAATTAGATCCAGAGTTTGTTTTGCTTTGTTTTTCACACTGGAAATGCTGGGTAATTAGAATAAAAGGTATGGGGGAGAACTAGTGGGTAAAAATGTTAGGCCTGGGGCCTGTGTTGTGACACAGCAGGTAAAGCTAGAACTTGCTTTGTGGGCATCCATATGGGCGTCAATTCATCTTCCACCTGCTCCACAACCATTACAATTCCCTGTTAATGGCATGGGAAAAACTGTGTTAGGTGGCTCAAGTGTTTGGTTCCCTGCTTCCCACATGGGAACCTCCTGGCTCCCTGGCTGTTGCAGCCATCTGGGGAGTGAACAAGCAGATAGAAGCTCTCTCTGTCTCTCCCCCTCTATAACTCTTTCAAAATAAGTAAATATATATTTTAAAAGTTTCAAAAGAATACATGTTTTAAAATAATGTTAGGCAAGACATAGATTCTTTAGGTATGAACTACATTCACTTTAGCCTTTATAACATAAAACTCACCAAAGATGCTGCATACAAAACTGAATCAAAGCAATAAGTCTCACCCTTACCTTGCTGGTGGTAATAATTCAAAGCTTTTTCAAGCTAAAATTTTTAGAGACAACAATAGGTCTCTGAATGATAAAGCATATCATAATATTATTCTTAATAATTCCCCCAAAATCTATAAAAAGAACTAGATCAATATTAAATTGATTATTAATCACAATGAGGTATTTACATACTAGCCTTGTCAGCTCTGAGCATGTGGGGAGGACCTAAGTAAAAATCAATGCAAATAAAATCAAATATGTATGAACAGCTTGAGGCAATGTAGCATGAAACAAATGGCCTTGTTTACTAGGTCAGGATTCATATCTCCAGGGCCAAATAGGAGTAGGTGACTTAATTAACAGTTGTCTAGACTGGGCTTCCTGACCTGAGGGCATTACTTAACCACCATCACTACACAGAAAATTACAAAACCCAAATGGATACATGGACAGATACGGAGCTTAGCACCTAGGGCTTTCTGTATACATGAATGACACTTTGCAGTAGGTAAAAGTAAAGCAGCTGCTAAGGCCAAAGAGCTATGATAAATATGAAGATATGAATGTGAAACTATGAAGTAAAAGTAGAGAGGGAAAGTCCCTACATCAACAGTTTCTTTTTTAAATGAAAATATTTTTCCAATGAATTTATTCCTCCCTCTTTATGTGTGAAGACCTGGTGTTATCGTGCATAATCATGAATACAAAGCTGTGTTAAACTTATCCCAAATTTTCAACTTCTTTTTATAACATTATTAAATATCAGAATAATATATCCCAAGTGACCAAAATCTGGCTTCATTTTCACATTTAGTAACTGAAAAATTAGAATTTCTCTGGTTTCCAGGGCAACCGAAAGAATTCTGAAAGCAAGGTAATAATATACCCAAGGATACACTATATTCTATCCAGTATATAGAGATTTCTAGAAATAATTTTAATCATTTTATAAACAATCATTGAGTTAAAGGGCTCAAACTGGATGTCAAAATCTGACTGTCATTTAGCAATGGGTTACATTTGAAGCTTACTTTCTTCATTTAAAAAACAGACAACATCTACTTGATAGGGTTGTTATAAGGATTATAATAGGTAATCCAACATAGTTAAGAGCTGGCAAGGCACATAGGGAACGCTCAGTAGGCCATTTATAAGTTGAAGGAGCTTTGGTTAATTTAAATGATCACATGAACATTTTTTTAAGATCCACAAGCCCCTGGATCTTTGGAAAGAGAAGAAAGATCCTTGGAAAGAGAGGAAAGATCCTTGGGAAGACTCTTGAAACAAAGCATATGAAGAGAGGGAAACACCAAACCAAGATGAGGAAACACCTCAGCTCCTAACAATGAACTTTGTTCAGGGAGGACAGCTCTCTGCACAGGAACCAGGCTGCTCAAAGCAGGGCTTTGGTAGCCATGTCAACATAAGCTAGGAGAGTCTTCCCAAACAGAGACTAAAGGACAACGAAGTAGTTACCAGGACTCAAAAGACGGAGTATTCAGTAGAACACGAAGTAACTTTAAGACAGTAATGTGTTTGTTTGTTTTTTGTTTTGTTTTTTTTTTTTTGTTTGTTTGTTTGTTTTTGTTTTTTGACAGGCAGAGTGGACAGTGAGAGAGAGAGACAGAGAGAAAGGTCTTCCTTTGCCGGTGGTTCACCCTCCAATGGCCGCCGCGGCCGGCGCACTGCACTGATCCGATGGCAGGAGCCAGGAGCCAGGTGCTTTTCCTGGTCTCCCATGGGGTGCAGGGCCCAAGCACCTGGGCCATCCTCCACTGCACTCCCTGGCCACAGCAGAGAGCTGGCCTGGAAGAGGGGCAACCGGGACAGAATCCGGCGCCCGGACCGGGACTAGAACCCGGTGTGCCGGCGCCGCAAGGCGGAGGATTAGCCTAGTGAGCCGCGGCGCCGGCCGAGACAGTAATGTGTTTTTAAAAATTTATTGAAGAGGCAAGAGACAGAGACAGAAAAAGGGAGAGAGAGAGAGAGAGAGGTAGATAAAAGAGCACACTTCCATATGATTCACTTCTGAAACGCCTTCAACAGCTGAGGCTGGGCCAGGCCAAAGCCAGGAGCCAGGAACTTAATCTGGGTCTCACACATGCGTGGTAGAGACTCAAATACTTGAGCTATCACCTGCTATCCCCCACCACCACCCCCAGTGCACATTAGCAGGAAGCTGGAATACAAAGACACTCCAATATGAGGTGTGGGTTCCCAAGGGACATCTTATTCATTATGCCAAACACCAGCCCCAATATGTGCTATCAATTTTGAAAAGTTAATTACAAAAGAGAACTTATAATATAGTCTAGTACTAATATGAGAAACTACCCCCCAGGAAAGCTTTCTCAATATGAATTAGTAATTAAGTTTTTAAGAAAATGTTTCTAAAGTTGGAGATTTTCTACACACGAATTAGGCCTCCATGTTTCCACTGGACCAAGTAGAGAGCACAAAGGCAACATCTGGTAAATGTGAATCACCCAGAAGTGTAACCTACTTTCATGTTCGTATATACTTCTTAAAAAGAAACCCAAGAATAATGATACTCTTTGCAGAGCCATAAACAGGTGTACATTTTGTGAACCTTCCATTTTTTGCTATTAAGTTTAATTTATGATGTGAATAATTATATCACATAAGTAAATTTTCCCTTCCATTGCTTTACTATTGCTTCCTCTACTTTGTACCTCTCTTTTGTTAAATCTTAATAGTTTGCTGAAATATAATTAGAATAAAGTAACGCCAAAAGCATTTTAATTGCCAGTATATAACAAAACAGGTGAAAACTTGCAAGCAAAGGGAGAGCATGAAAAGTGAATACGCAGTCAGATAAATCATCATTGTCCCAACAGGTCTGTTCAAGTTGACAATTATAAAAACTGAAAATAAAACTTCAAACAGTTGTAAATGTCTGTTTCTGGGAACTTATTCAGAAAACAGTCTGGAACAATGACAATGACATTCTTTTTCACACTATTAGTCCAAAATTCTGACAGCAAATATCCTCCGCAAACAGCCAAGAGGATACATTATCACTTTTAAAATTCTTTATTGTGAGGATATAAAGCTTGAAGACTTTGGATATATAAAAGCTCTGCTTTTTAAAGAAATCATTTGGGTATATCTATCTATATACGTCAGATACATATGCATTAAAATATTCACATATATATTGAATGTATGAAAAAAAATTTTTTTTTGGTCAGGCAGAGTGGACAGTGAGAGACAGAGACAGAGAGAAAGAAAGGTCTTCCTTTGCTGTTGGTTCACCCTCCAATGGCCGCCGTGGCCGGTGCGCTGTGGCCGGTGCACCGCGCTGATCCGAAGGCAGGAGCCAGGTGCTTCTCCTGGTCTCCCATGGGGTGCAGGGCCCAAGCACTTGGGCCATCCTCCACTGCCCTCTCAGGCCACAGCAGAGAGCTGGCCTGGAAGAGGAGCAACCGGGACAGAATCCGGCACCCCAACCGGGACTAGAACCCGGTGTGCTGAGCCGCAAGGCGGAGGATTAGCTTAGTGAGCCGGGGCGCCAGCGAGAATGTATGAATTTTAAAATATGACCATGTATTAGAGAAAGCATATAAGTGTAATTCATTTAGTTAGTTATACTGAAAACTTTTTGGGTTTGGGAAAATACAAAAGGAGTTAGTCTTAAACATCAAGAAAATATTAGCAGATACTTACAATATGCAAAAGTTTCAATACATCCACAAATCTGTAAAACACAGCAATGAAAAAACATTTTTATTTTTTTTCTTTTTTTCTTTTTATTTATTTTATTTTTGACAGGCAGAGTAGACAGTGAGAGAGAGAGACAGAGAGAAAGGTCTTCCTTTGCCGTTGGTTCACCTTCCAATGGCCACCGCGGCCAGCGTGCTGCGGCCAGCGCACTGCGCTGATCCGATGGCAGGAGGCAGGTGCTTCTCCTGGTCTCCCATGGGGTGCAGGGCCCAAGCACTTGGGCCATCCTCCACTGCACTCCCTGGCCACAGCAGAGAGCTGGCCTGGAAGAGGGGCAACCGGGACAGAATCCGGCGCCCTGACCGGGACTAGAACCCGGTGTGCCGGCGCCACAAGACAGAAAAAACATTTTAAATGAGTCAATGAGGGGAAAATAATTGTCCAAATTGTAAATTAGATACCTACACTTTCTCTGAGCTTATGATCTCCTTGGCAATATGATGCACTTTACTTTTCATTCCAGTATCTTCATCCTGTGGATAAAAGAACATTCAGAAAGTATGAAACTCATTAAAGGATAATGAAGATCAGCTATGAACAAGGCAGACATGAACTTTTAACTCCGATATGTACAATCTCCATCCGTATTACACACAATTCATGCTGTATAACATCTCAAATGACAAAGGTAGAAAATATGATGAGGGATAAGCCACAATACAAGAGCAGCTGAGAGCAGTCTGTAATGGGATTAACCGACCAGCCTGAGTAGTACCTCGATGGTTCAAACCATTCTGCAGCAGAAAGGACCCCTACAGATACCACATGAACGTGAGTCCACTGGGTGCACACAGCGATGTAATCATTACTGGTGAATATCCAGCAGGTCTTTTTGAGAGAACTTCACCCTAAGTAAGGCCCTTCTCAGACAACCTTAAGTACAGTCTGAACGAATTTCTTCCCAGTCTATACCAACATTACAGCCACAGGCTCTCAATTTCTTTAAAATCCCTCGTACCGGGGTCTTAGAAACACGGCAGTTCTATCCTGAAGAGCTAAAGTGAAGTTCTTTTACTCTGTACTCCTTTGTAGGAAAGTTTAATGCCCCAGCAAGGGGGGAGGGGGGGGATGTGCATGCTTGAAAGGAGTAACAGAGATATTTTGGCAGGAGGTACAGTATTTAGGTGAATTTCATGTTGTTAATGGAATATTAACACGGCTGGCTTTGTTTCCAGGGGATTAAAGAAAAGAAGAGTTTCTTATTTCTATTCGAATGAAAGATCTGAATCCTGCAATTCTATAGCAAGGGGCAAAAAAAAAGTAAATAAGGAATAAGCAAATCTAATATTTTGGAAACTATCCTTAAGGTAAAAATTATGACTGCTGTGTTAAAACGAAAATGCTCTAACGTTTCTGTTGATGAAACATCAGACCTGGTTTTTAGAAAGAGAGATTTCTGCATCCACGTGGACACTGGCAACACTAAGACACAGTCATTCTGTACTGCACAGGGCAGAGCTGGACAGGGCATAGTTGGCTAAGGCAACGTGAGAGTAAGCATAAAAAGTAGCTGCGATGGGGCCGGCGCTGTGGCATAGCAGGTAAAGCTGCCACCTGCAGTGCTGGCATCCCATATGGGTGGCGGTTCGAGTCCCAGCTGCTCCACTTCCAATCCAGCTCTCTGCTATGGCCTGGGAAAGCAGTAAAAGCCCAAGTGCTTGGGCCCTTGCACCTGCGTGGGAGACCCAGAAGAAGCTCCTGGCTCCTAGCTTCGGATCAGCAGAGCACTGGCGGTTGCAGCCAACTGGGGAATGAACCAGCGGATGGAAAACCTCTCTCTCCACGGCTCATTCTCTCTCTGTGTAACTCTGACTTTCAAGTAAATAAATAAATCTTTAAAAAATTTTTATCTATTTTCATTTTATTTGAAACCTATTAAAACAGTGACATACAGAGATCAATCTTTTATCTACTGGTTCATACCCCAAATGCCTCCTGGTGAGTGAGTGACAGGGACCCAACCATCCAAGCCATCACCTGCTAATTCCCAGAGTGTACAATAGCAGGAAGCTAAACTGGAAGCAGCAGTCAGAACTCCAATTACACACTCCTGTATGGGATGTGGGCATCTTAAACGCTGCACCAAATGCACACCACTCAAGGTTTTATAGTATGTTAAAAATTATATTTTAGGGATCAGTATTGTGGCACAGTTGGTTATGCTGCTAACTGTGAAGGCAGCATCTCGTGAGTGCCAGTCCAAGTCCTGGATGCTCCACTGTTAACGTGCTAAGGAAAGCAGAGTAAGACGACCTAAGCGCTTGGGTCCCCGCCACTCACATGGAGACAGAGTTCTAGGCGCCTGGCTTCAGACAGGCCCAGACGTAGTTGGTTGGGTCACTTGGGGAGTAGACCAGTGGATGGAAGATCTCTTTTCCCTCTCTCCCTCCCTCTCTTTTTCTGTAACTCTGCCTTTCAAGCAAATCAATAAATCTTTTTTAAACATTAAATTTTCATTGTAATCACTTTTATGTTCAAAAGAAGTCAGAGAGATAGAGGGGAAATCTTTATCTTTAAACTTTACTTTTAAAAACTATATTGAGGCCGGCGCTGCGGCTCAATAGGCTAATCCTCCACCTAGCGGCGCCGGCACACCGGGTTCTAGTCCCAGTTGGGGTGCCAGATTCTTTTCTGGTTGCCCCTCTTCCAGGCCAGCTCTCTGCTGTGGCCTGAGAGGGCAGTGGAGGATGGCCCAGGTGCTTGGGCCCTGCACCCCACGGAAGACCAGGAGAAGCACCTGGCTCCTGCCTTCGGATCAGCACGGTGCGCCAGCCACAGTGCACCAGCCGTGGCGGGCGGCCATTGGAGGGTGAACCAACGCCATAAAGGAAGACCTTTCTCTCTGTCTCTCTCTCTCACTATCCACTCTGCCTGTCAAGAAAAAAAAAAAAAACTATATTGAGACCCATTAGATAATAAATGGTAGCTGAAATCATGACAGTGAATGAGATCAAACACATGGGATATATAAAGTGAGAGTTGAATCAAAGATGACACATCTAAACCTGAAATTTGCCAAAATTAAAGTTGGTTATTAGCAGAGTTGAGAAGAGAACTCAGATTTACCACTATCCAACCTAAGAATTATGATATTACACACTGAACCACCAGGTGGATCTTAAAATTCAGATTCCCAGGTAATTATCATAGAAACTGATACTGTAGTCTGAGAAGGAGTATGAAAGTGCTAGAAGAGGAAATTAAAGAAATAGCCATAATCTTCAAGCAATGAATAAGGGGAGCAACCCAAATACATATATAATTATATATAAGGATGACTATGAAGCATGTTGGTATCGTGAAGAAAGAAAGATTATAATCAGACAGGGGTGTGTAAATCAGGAAAGGCTTCTCAAAGGATAAAGCATCCAATGCACTTCACTCTTAACACAATTCATCAAGTACTTGCTGACTAGTGTTGAGAGAAGCTGCCCTAGACTTAAGATCTTCCCAACATCCTGTTTCCCCTACCCCTGTCCTTGTACCCCCAAGTACAAGGAAGGGCTCTCTCGGAAGTTCCCTTAGTTGACTTAGTTCTTCCAAAAAAAATGCAACTATTGCCTTTTGGTTCTCTGAGCACCATGGCAATTGGCAAGAACAAGTGGCTCAGAAAAAGCATCAAAAAGGGAGCCAAGAAGAAAGTGGCTGATCCATTTTCTAACACTGATATGATGTGAATGCACTTGCTATGTTTAATTTCAGAAATACTGGACAGGGGCCGGCACTGTGGCCTGAAGCACCGGCATCCTATAAGGGCGCCGGTTCGAGACCCAGCTGCCCCACTTCCGATCCAGCTCTCTGCTATGGCCTAGGAAAGCAGTAGAAGATGGCCCAAGTCCTTGGGCCCCTACACCCATGTGGGAGACCTGGAAGAAGCTCCTGGCTCCTGGCTTTGGATTGGCGCAGCTCTGGCTGTTGTGGCCAATTGGGGAGAGAACCAGAGGATGGAAGACCTCTCTCTCTCTCTCTGCTTCTCCTTCTCTCTCTCTGTAACTCTTTCAAATAAATAAATAAACCTTTAAAAAAAAAAAGAAAAAATTGGACAAACACTAGTCAAGAGGACTCAAAGGAACCAAAATTGCATCTGATAGCCTTAAGGGTCATATGTTTGAAGTCCATCTTGCACTGTGCAGAATGATTAAGCTACATTTAGACAATTCAAGCTAACTACTGAGGATGTCCAGAACAAAAAGTGCCTGACTGAGGCCAGCATTTTGGCTTAATAGGTTAAGCTACCGCCTGATACTCCAGCATCCAATATGGGCACCAGTTCATGTCCATACTGCTTCACTTCTAATCCAGCTTCTTGCTAATGTGCCTGGCAAGGCAGTGGAAATTGGCTCATGAAATTGGGCCCCTGCCACTCATGTGGGAGACCTGGATAAAGCTCCTGGCTTGGGCTTGGCCAAGCCTGGCCATTGCATCCAACTGGGAAGTCAACCAGTGGATGGAAGATCTATTTCTCTTTATATGTGTCTCTCTTTTTGTAACTTTGTCTTTCAAATAAATGAAAATAAATCTTAAAAAAAAAAAAAATATGCCTAGGCCAGCACCGTGGCTCAATAGGCTAATCCTCCGCCTGTGGCACCAGCACTCCGGGTTCTAGTCCCGGTCGGGGTGCCGGATTCTGTCCCGGTTGCCCCTCTTCCAGGCCAGCTCTCTGCTGTGGCCCGGGAGTGCAGTGGAGGATGGCCCAGATCCTTGGGCCCTTCACCCGCATGGGAGACCAGGAGAGGCACCTGGCTCCTGGCTTCGGATCAGCATGGTATGCTGGCCGCAGCGTACCAGCCACAGCGGCCTTTGGGAGTGAACCAAAGGAAAAGGAAGACCTTTCTCTCTGTCTCTCTCTCTCTCACTGTTCACTCTGTCAAAAAAAAAAAAAAAATGCTGACTAACTTCCATTACTAATAGCATAGATCTTACCTATGACAAAATGTGTTTAGTGTTAAAAAAAAAAAAAAAAAGGCAGAGCATGACTGAAGCTTATGTTGATGCCAAAACTACCAGTGGTTATTTGCTTTGTCAGCCCTGTGTCAGTTTTAGTAAGAAGTGCAACCATCAGACACGGAAGACTCCTTTATGCTCAGCACCAGCAGGTCCACCAGAACCAGATGATGGAAATTATGACCCAAGAGGTGCAAGCAACTGACTTGAAAGAAGTGGCCAATAAACTGATTCCAGACAGCACTGGAAAGGACATAGAAAAGGCTCACCATTCTATCTATCCTCCCCATGATGCCTTGTTAGGAAAGTAAAAGTGCTGAAGAAGCCCAAGTTTGAAGAGGGAAAACTCATGGAGCTTCATGGTGAAGGCAGTAGCTTCTGGAAAAGCCACTGGGGATGAGACAGTGCTCAAGTAGAATGAAATGATGGATATGAACACCAGTCCAAGAACTTGCTTAAGATCTAGGCTTTAATAAGGACAAATAAAAAGCCCTATTTGTGATAGTTAGCTTTTGAACAACCACAAAAA